AAGAGCTGCTCTGCACTCCTCATTTCTTTTACAGAGAACCTCTGTTCAGTGGGATTCCTCACCTGCAGTACTGTCTTCACATGAAGTGTATTTTCACCTTATCCATCTTCAAACAGAGAAGCATAGAGGCTAATTTGCTTCTTTGTAGCATTGCTAGTGTCTTAGTAATTTCCCAGGATAAAAGAAGTGAGTAAAAAAAACCCTAAACTGCTAGAGGAAAAGACCAAACAAACCCAGCACATTTCTGTGGAATTCTTCTGTTTGTCAGATGTGAGCCTCCACTTGCACAAAATAATTAGGAGTTGTACTATGTAGAGCATGCTTAGCATCAAAGTAGTCACAAATGCCTCGTATTTTCTTCTAAACAGTCTCAAGGGTAGTGAAAGCTGTCAAAAATCAAAGCAGCTAGCTTCTGTGTGAAACACAGAAGCCCTTTTACCTTATCAAAAAACACAAATATTTTAAAATAATTGACAGAGAAGTTAATCAATTTTCATCTGATTTAGCAAAGATCACGCAGTCTCGAAATAACACAAGCATCTCAATTGATACCAATGAGATCAATATTGATATTTTTAATCCCTGAAAGAAAGCAACAGCTGTCAGGAAGGCATATGCACACACTCCACTGAATGTGTAACTGTACAGAAGAAGGTGTGAGTTCTTCTTCTTTAAACATGTTCTCTGTATGGAATTGTTTTAATAAAATCCAAAGCTCGGTGAGTGAATACATATAATTGTTCAATCAGCAAATCAGGCAGATCCAGCCTAATGAAACAGCCTAGATGATCTGTAACATCTGCAATATTTTGGTGGGATGTTATGCAGAACTTGTTTAGAGCTGGGAGTTGGACCTCAAAAAAGTCACGTAATATACAGTTTCATAAGTACGAGAGTCCTTGCTGGCATAAATGACTACAGCTTTTTGATTCACTGTCAAGTTTTAAAACTCTCTTTCACCTGGTAGCCTCTGGATATAATAAACCCATGATCTTCCGCTTTGTGCCTGGGTGCAGGTCGACTAGGTCATGGGTAGTGACAGCCCTATAAAGAAACTTCTTGACGACCCAGCCCTTAGAAGCTGGGTGAATACCACCACCCCACCAAATGCAAGAGCAGGTCTCAGACCTGCCCACCTTAGGGAAACCCCGATAAAACCTGCCACTTCCCCGTTTGCTCGGATTCGGATGTGGTCTGCAGGGCCCCTACAGCAATCCTGTCAAAAGCATAATGGCAAGCGTTGATCTCCTCAAATGCAACAAAGGCTTCTTATATCTAACACCTGCTTCCCTATCATTCCTCGCACACCAATGTGGAGGTCATTATGTTACATATCTCTGCATAATCCCTTCTGTACGTATAGGCATAGAAATATAAATATATCTTCAGAGAAAACAAAACTTCCAGCAGGGTCAGGTGTGTAGACTAGCAAAACCCTTCACCTAGCTGAAGCCAGTGTGAGTTTTGCCATTGATTTTTTCAGAGGGCTCAGGTTTTAGCTTATTTTCAGCCAAATGGCAGTTTTATGGGCAAATGAAGAAGCTTTTGAGGATGAGGTTTACAAAGAAGTACAACTCTGATTTGCATTTCAACAAAATACAACAAATCAATAGGCTTTTAAAAGCAAAATGATCTTCTAGTAATTTGTAGTGGGATGCTGAAGAAATCCACGATGGCAGTAGTGAGTGGGAGTTTTGTACTCACCCATATCAAACTATCAGAGGTTATTGCTTCCCTTTAATTTGCTATCTGGTACCACATTACTGATTTTCTCTAATTAATTAATTCCCATACTATTAGTTAAGCTGTATCTCTTAGTCTCAAAATACAAGCATTGGCACAGGAAAGAAATCCTTAACTATTCTAGCATCGCAGAATCACAACCTGCCTCCTACTTACCTGTGAACATCTGAATGGTTTCATGTCATTCAGGGTTATTTATGAATGTTAATAATGGGTTATTTACCTATGTGAATTTACCTATGTTTGCAGGGTGAGGGTCCACACATATGCTCTTGACTCTTAATATAAGATCAATCTAGGATATACCCTTCGTATATGTTTTGATAAAGATCTCTTCCAATTACTTCCAGTTTTCACTTGGACACTTGAATTTCTCCTCATATTAGCTGGCCAGTCAAGCTACACAGGGGAGGGACACTCCAGTCAATAACTTACATACAGAAAAAGCAATCAAACCCTTCTGTTAATACACTATAAAAACTGTATTCCAATTTTTTTAATGCACTACAGATTTTTCTTTAGATCTCTTGACTTGAGCTGTTTTCCATTAACATTAATATGTTTGAAATTGTTCTTTGATCTGTTTGTACAGATGCAGAATTGCGTCATTGTGCTCCAACTTTTAAATTAGTGGTACACAGTAATCATAAAATTCTCGATAAGATGTGACATTTTAATTGTACTTTACAGATCCTGAGAAAACAGGAAGGAGTTGTCAGCATTTTTGCATCTTGCGTGCTTTTGTGTATCATATTCCTAACTGGGGTCACTACCTCCTTATTCTTGTACTCTGTTGAAGCAGGTAATGCTTTGTTTGATGGAAGAGGGGTACTTTTCATCAGAGATGACTGTATTATATGCTAAGATTTTTTATCTGTCCTATATAAAAACTTATGTGATTGTGTTAACATTTATTTTCGGTAAACTGATGCAGAGGATGCCGTGTATCTGGATGACGAGAAGGAAAGGGAAGAATACGTCCTGAATGATGTTGGTATTGTTTTCCATGGAAACATCAACGAGATAAAATTAAGAAGCTGGAGTTACGGTCAGGTGAGCTGTTTAGACCTTCTCTGGCTGCACCCAGCAGAACAGCAAGTGAATTTAATTGACGCCAGACTGTGGTTGAGACTGTGGGCTCTGGAATGCATTATTGGTCTCTCCTTCAGAAAGACAAGGGGCATAATTTTAAAATTGTATGAAGTGGGTATATGCCTAATCCAGAAAAGCAATGTTATAATAGCTAATATTTAAAGACCTTGTTTTAGGGGTATATTTCAGATACTAAGAGGCTGCCTGTTGAAAGTTATAGTCATTAGCTGAGGTTTCCATAGTGCAGGTGTATTTTTGCTGCTACGTTATTGCTTCAGGATCAAACTGATTTGGTGAAAGAGTAGAGAGATTTTTTTTTTTTTTCAGCAACAGGTTTTATTGCTTTTTGACTCCTCCTTTTAGTTCTAGTGACTTGATGGAAATTATTCTCATTTGTTCAGAGGGGGGTCAGCTTGTCACAGGGGTCCTATGGTAAACTGGGATGTAATCCCAGAGTTTTAAATTTCCTTGCCACAGTGACAAAGGCGGGGAACCTCTTCCTTTGCTGCCTGGACTTGACAACATCAGTCTCCAGTAGCCTCTTGCAACCTGTGGGCAATACCCCCCGCCAGGCTGGTGTGCAGTATTGGTGTGCCTTCCATAACATCAGACTCCCATTGCTTGCTTGCTTGCCTATTTTACCTCAATCTGTTTTTAAGCACTAGCCAGCCTGAAAGTCCCTATGGGATGAAAGAGTTAAGCTGTTGTTTGAGAACAGGGAAAAGGCATTAATGACCAAAATGAAAACGAGCAAAACTAACCCTAGCTGTCACTCAGAAGGCCTCCAAAGGACAGTTATTGGACATGGTGAACTCTGCTTATCTCACCTCCTGGATTTTCACAACAGCATGACTAAGAAAGTATTGAAGTATTTCCTTAATGCTATGGTGACGGACCCATTCAGTTTTTGTGGCACCTCCCCAGTGCAGCCTTGCAGAAGGGGCCTTCTTGCTTTGCTTTCTTTCCCTCAGCCAAAGACAATCTCAAAGCTTGAGCTGGATGGATTGCCAGTGAACTCACCCCGGAGAGCTCTTTGAACTCACATCTCTCTTTTTTCCTTACTTAAGGGTACAGTTTCATCCTTTTTTCCTGTGGCAGCACTGCCTTAGGGAGTTCCTGCCTCTGCACTGTTCCTTTGGTTGTGTCAGGGCCGTTGTTTGCGGGGTCTATCTGTCATCCTGACTGAGATAAAAATAACCCTTAAATAAGGTGGGGGGGGCAGCAATTCCATAAGCTGATGGTGCCTCTGATATAAGAGATGTGGAACCAGATCCTGTAGGCCAAAGCTGGGTGTGCATTTAAGTTGACCAAAAATGCCCCCTCCTGGCCCTTCCTTCCCCCTGCAAGTGCTTGCGCAGCGGTGCAGTGAATCAGAGTGGAGAGATGATCTAGCTGAATAAGCATCTCCTTGATTTTTTACTTTTTTTCCCCTGGGTTATTTTTGGGGCTTGCTCTGTTCCTAGATTTGGGATTCACTCTGTGACAGATGTAAGGGGGAGGGAGAGAGGGAATGAGGGGCTGGAGGTGGACAGTGCTGCTTAAACCAGCTGCTGGGTTTATGTGCTAAGATGCTAAATTTATCGCCTACGGTGGCTTGGCCTGAGATGCTTATATTCTGCAAATCTGGCACCTTCCTGACACAAACAGCAGCCTCCCTAGAGAAACTGCATTATTTATTTGGTTTTGCTAGGAGGTAGCTCTGTCTGGGAGGTTAGGGCTGTTCCATATCCCTTTGTCATGTACTTTCATTCCTGTGTTGTCTGAAATCGGAGGACCTGATTTCCACACTGTGCTGTGGTCCACCTTTTGCTATCACTTGCCCATGTAAAAACTAAGTGTGGCAGATGCATCTAAGGGGGCCCAAGACGAGTTTTAATGGGATCAATCATTTTGTATGGCTGGAACAGACATCTCAAAGTGCAAAGCAATGGAGAAACATTCTTCTGGTTCCCTCACTTTCAGTGAGATGGAGGAGGTAATGTTCCTGATCTTACCCTGACAATTTCCAGCCATTAAAAACATGCATCTTCCTCATTTTCAGTAATCCTGGGTGTTAAGAATAAGAGCATTGCTCTGAGTGAGTAAAAGTACTAGCAGCAAGGCCTATATTATGGGTATATCATACATGTATGCCTCTTGTATTTATGACATATAGCCCTGTAGAACAATGTAAGTAAAAAGCATAAAGCCACATACAGTGATAGAAGTGAAAAGTATTTGTTCATATACAAAAATACAGATAGACTTGTGCACAGTAATATTCTTAGGCTAAAAAATTGCTTTGAACAATGACAGCTGGAAGCTTTAACTCAGGTTGTAAATTAAAAAGGAACATACGGTTCAAAACTGGGTTACTGGTGGGAGATGATTCTCACAGCTGCTGTCTTTAATGAGCAGCACCAACATGAGAGGAGGACAGGCAAGAAAAATGGACCGAGGAAGAAAAAACAACAGACCAGTTGAAATATGGTTGCAATGCATGAGGATGGAGGTATTCCTTGTAACGTGACTGTGATTCCTTTCTTCTAAGAAAGCATAAATAGCCAGTCATTCAGAAAAGCCGGCAGGGGATTCAGGTGAAATTTGGCTTTGGAAGAAATCTAGGAACATAGGAATTCTCTGGCTGAACAATGACAGAAATTGGATGCTATATTGATCATTTAACGTTGTTTTTTTGTGAGAAAAATAAAATAAACCAAGTGGGCATAGAGTTCTTGTTGCCATCCTGAGTTGTCTCCTGTCCACACGTTAAGCTGCATTAGCTTTGCGGCCCACTGTGCATGTGTAATTTTACAGCACGTGCATTTGGTCAGATCAGACCACAGGCAATGTGAGATCACATCTGCCTGCAACTGACTGTGAGAAATACAGCCCTAATTCAACCAGTGCAAAAGGTGATACAGCCCTTCTTACTTTGATTTAAATGGAAGGTCATCTCTTAGAAACAGGTTAGCATGAGAGAGGATGCCCACTGAAGGCCAGCCTGACTAAGTGCATTGCTCTGTAACACAACGCATGTCTGTGTGCAGACAGAACCCCTTCACCTGTGTGTTTTCTCACGCCTTGTTTTCCATCTGCAGTCTTTCCCAGGTAGCTCTGCCAAAGTTCCTTGGTCCTGAATTTGGTTTGTCTCCATTTCAGCTTGTGTTGAGCAGGCAGTGCCTGTGCCTGGCCCAAGTTCACTCACCTCTCCTGGCTACCTGCCGCTGCTCTGGTTCCTCTGACATTTCAGGGTTGTTCAGCCTTACAACTGCTATGTTTCTGTGCCATTTCCCTCTAGATAGCATCTTCATGCCAAGACTGAGAGCAGGGAACTGATTTAGTTTGATTTAATGATTTTAAATCCCTGGATAGAGAAGAAGGGAAGAACTGGGTTTAGAGTTAAGGCTACACTGTATCCTGCACTACTGCAACAGTGTAAGGCAGCTAGACTTTACAGCTTGTCCTATCTCTTCTCCTGTTAATCCAGTTATTTCACAAGCATTCATGTCATTTTGTAAATGCTAAGGTGGAAGGCAACAACCCTGACAGCAATTTCTTTCCTCTTTATTCTTCCTGTATATGCTGGCAAGATTGACAGTGTCTCATAAACTGTAGATGAGGAAGATTTAATTTGCAGGGTAAACTTCTTATTGATTTAACTCAGGTCTTAGGCACTGCTGATGACTTGAAGTGCAGAAAGCAGATTTTGATCCTGGTGAGAGTGATAAATCATTGGGCCAGACCAGAAGAAAATTGAACTTGAAGCAGGAAGGATGGCTATGAGTTTACATTATCTGTTGTGAGGATTCTTCTTGGGAAGGAGGGTCTCTACAGCGTGGTGACTCTCCCGAGATTATTTACATCACATACCAGTGGAGTGGACTGGAGACTCTACTGTGCAATTATTCAGCTTCCCAGGGATGATACAATATTAGGAATAGGTCCCTGGGAAACACTGATGTCTCTTTTCCTATTTGCCCAAACACCATGAATTCAGTTTTGCTCAGATTATAAGGTGTTACTCACTCGTGAATGTCTGCTCCAGAGAAAGTAATTCAATGCAAATGTGGGTGGTGATGAGAGAAGTGTGCTGCCTTGGAGGATGTTTGCTGAGAAGGATCCATACGGCAGTGGTACCCTGAGCAATGAGAACCAGGAGGCCCAAGGCAGAGGCAAAGAAAAGGACTTTCCTTGGCCAGGAAATGGCTGAGGGTAGTGAAACATGGTGGTGCTTCCACTTTCTTGGCTTATGCCAGAGCTTGGCTGCTGCCTGGGATGTCCCCTCCATCCTTCCCATCTTCCCTGCAGCATCAGCAGCCCTCTTGACTCTTTGAGGCTTCCTTTTCAGCTGTCTGGCCTCACCCTTCCTTCTCCTCTGCCTCTCCCGGGGCTGCCGAAGCAACAGGTTGGCCTGGGTTCTTGCTCACTTTCTTCAGGAGGCAAAACTCAGATTGTCCTTATCTGCCAAGGAGCCCTAAGCCAGGCTGGAGACAGTTGCAAAATCAATCCAGCTCTAGCAGCAGCATGAGAGCAAAAACCCTGTTAGCGTGAATAATATCTTTAAGGATGCAAGCATTGAACATAAAGCCTAACACGGCAAGGGGAACAAGGTCTGTGGACTTCCTGTAACAGCCTTGAATGTTAATACAAGATTGTGTATCTAGAAGATATTTGTTTCATTAATGTGCATTTCCCTGTCTCCTACCGTTTTCCAGGGGACAGAGGTATTTTCCTTTGCTATGCAGTTTCTTCTAAGGAAAATGAAATACATCACAGGGCAAGTTCTGTGACAAATGGTTTCTGGTCTATTTAGGCACCTCTGCCCTCAATTCATTCTTGTGCTTGTTCATGCTGGATTGAAGAAACTGTACCTTTTCACTCTATTTTTGAAGAAGACTACTTTAGGTCGCTTGGTATTTTTGATGTCTAAGTTTCATAGACCAGGATTAATCTATATAATCAGCTTTTGGCTTGTCAATTTTGAACATATTTAAAAATTAATTTTAAAATGTAAGCATCTTCAAATTAATTTTGGCAAACCATTTATTGTTCAGCTTCCCAGCATTGCATTGGCTGGGTCAGAGAGGTCCTAAAATTAACAGGTCTGGAATCTGTGAAGGACGTGAAGTCCTTCGCAAGCAGACTACCTTCTTGTAGTTATTATTATAATATCTTCCTATTATATACTTGTTAGCACTTAAAATTTTATGTCCTGTCAGAAAGGCTGTGTTGTCATTTTAACCTTCTGGAAACTGGACTGCAATTGAATTGAAAATGACAGTCTTGTTTCCCTCACAGCATCTCACATTTTTTTGCTATACATGGGTGATTATTCTAGAAGAAAACTTGTATTTTTAAACACAGAACTTTGTCTTGACCAGCTAATTTTGAAGCTGATCAGCTATTATAACAACAATGAAAGATAACTTTTCCTTTGCTTTCCGGAATAAAAAGTGAGTCGATTTTCCCTCTGTTTCCTTTTTTATTTTCTTTTATCTAGTTTGAAGAGAACATTCTGGATGCTTGCCTGTTTCTGATGGACAAGGCAGAACTGGAGCTCTCTGGGCGCGGAAACCCGATCAAAATCTGCCGTGTTGCTTCTGCAGTGGTATGTAATGGATGCCTAAGATCTGTCAGAATCAACTCATAAATCAAAGCCAGGCTGGTTTAACGGGCCTTCATGCCCTTGATGTATTCACTCCAACAGGTGCCAGATCAATTGTCCATTCTGACCTCTGGGATCTGGCATTTTATTTCGCTCCACTAAAGGTGAAATATTTATGTCAGCTCATCACCTTTTCCTGAGAATGGTACCTCACTAGTAGGAAAGCCACTTTTAGACATTGCACTCCAGGCATGATAGCATTTCTTGTGACACTGTGCTCTCTTTCTGGTAGCTGAGATAACCGAGAAAGCTATTTCTGCCATGGATGGTAAGGTGGCCTGATGGGTGGAATTTGGGATGGAGAATTGAGAGACTTTATGTGGACTCCAGCACCAACCTCAAAGGGGTCTTAAGATACTGCCATGGTGGATGTCACTGTGTCCGATTTTTAAGCCTCAGATGGCCTAGTCAAGCTGATGACATTTTTGTAAGATACCTTGGCCCCAGAAGTAAGCATTGTGAGAGCTGTGCTCTTAAACATGGGGTGCACAAAACTTACTGTATTCAGAATGCAGGTTCCTAAAATAATCAGAAGCAAAGAGTAAGCAGAAGACTTCCCACATCTCCGTTCTTTCCAGCTGCTAGGCACCAGGAGTCATGCTGTGCGTAAAACAGCAGTCCCACCACTGGTATGCAAGGTAAAAGACTCATCCAGGATGTGGAAGTCAGAGGCTGCATCCTCTCCTCTGCCTTATAGAGGTCTGAATGGATGCTTTCTGCTTCCCAGAAGAATACTCTAGTCATCGAGCTAGCGTCATTAGATGTTCTCCAAAGTCAACTACTAAAATAGACTGTCTGCAAAACGTGGCTGCTGGAGATGGATAATCCTCTAATCCACTTGTTGGAGCATTTGCCCAAGCTTTAAGAGAATGAGCTCTTTGTCTTAGACAACATTGAAATGGGATCTCCAGCCTCTCAGTGCCACACGCTGACTTTTGCATCCCGCTTCTCTTTCTCTTTTAACCTTTTGGTTAGTTCTTTCACCACAGACATTAGAAATACAGCTTCAGACCTTCAGACAGAAGTAAGAACTGAATGTGGTTCCCTCATCACTGGGCTAGTAGACGTTCAGGGTCCCTCATGCAGGAACCCTGGAAGCCCTGTGGGCAGAATAGTACAAAGTTTATGAACCCAAAGGGAGCTTGGATATTACTTAGGTTTTGAGCCACTCAATCATTTTAGGGAGGTGGAGAAGTTCACCATTGGAAATCCAGGAGTCAATGGACTTTAGGTCTAATCTGCAGGATTAGGCCTTAGCTGGGTGGGAGTTTTGGCTGTCTGAAATCTGGACCTCAGTAAGAAGTGGCCAAGAGGTGTTGAAGTCCTGCCCATGTTCCTTACCCTCATTCTTGCTTAAGGGGTGATGTAGCAGAGCTGAGTTCACCTGAGGAGGTGCCCCATGCTGGGGTCCTTCTGAGGCTTCCTGGCATTGCAGAGCAGGTAGAGTCACCCCCTTCTTTGTCTCCTTACAGCCAGAGGAGAGCCTGAAGATCAACACGCTGCCCTGTCCTTGAAGTGCCTCTTTTCTTGGCGTGTTTCCCACAACAGTGAGATGGGCACAACCCCTTAACCCTTTGGTTATGACTCTGAATACTTATCTTTATTCAGTCCTAGGGTTCACAGGAAGTCGATTTCCTAATTATAAAACAGTAGTTAATCCAGCCAAAAGCTTTTAAATGAGAATTGTGATTTATTTGGCTGGCGTGTAGCTGTTCCACATTAGCATAATTAAAAGGTACAGAGCGAATGAGCTTTTTGCACAGCCTCAACTGGTTTGGTTCAAATTGCAGCTAGGAGATGTATTGCTCGTTAATGCCTATCAGTATAGCCATTAGTCAGCAAAACTCCTTGCTTTGTATAATCTTACCAGGGGAAAACTTATACAGCAAATTCCTTCTTGTTTTCATGTGTGCTGGACCGAAGAAATTAGTTTCTACTCTAAAAATAACAGTGGACTGGTTCTCTTCTCAAGCTGCCGTAAATCAGGAGTGATTTTATTAAAATCTCTGGGCTGATATGGACAGAAAAAACAGACGATGTTAAGAAAGAATCCAGCTTATTATTTCTGAGGCTTGATTATCAGCTTATAACTGATCACATTTATTATAAATACATAGCAGTAAACATGTTTAATGTTAATAAAACTTACTAACCAGGCAACATGGATACTCAGTGTGGTGATTTAATTTCGCCATGATTTTTAAGTGTCTGACCTTCATTCAAAATTGTTCAGTGATGGAGAATCCATGGCCTCTAGCAAGATCGTTCTATTCATCTCCTACCTTCATAATTAAACATTTCTGTCTTACTTCTAGCCTAAACTTGGGTATATTCAGTCTCTCCCATCCTATCTTTGTCTGCTGGGTTAAAGAGCTCTTTATTATTCAGTCTCTGACATCCCTAATGCTCATTTCCTTTGTCTTTAGATCAACTCCAGGGATGATAATGGTGTGATCGCTGGATCCTGGGACAATACGTACACTTACGGGGTTGCACCTTCAGCCTGGACGGGAAGCGTGGACATTCTCTTGGAGTATTACAGTTCTAAGCAACCAGTGCGATACGGCCAGTGCTGGGTCTTTGCCGGTGTCTTCAACACATGTAGGTATCAGTGAGAAAAGCTCCACCCTGCTATATGATTCATGCGTAACAGAGAGAGCTTTTAGGTTAAACTAGCTAAAATACTTCCTGGCTCTGTGGTGTTCAGGAGTAAATAGTAGAGATACTTAAAAATACACGGCTAAAATAGATGCTCTTTAAAGAAACTTTTGGCATCTCCTTCAGTTCTGCTGCTCTTGCACACAAATCTGTTAACTATTTATTTGTTCAGTAAAATGTATTCAGTGACTCACAGAGGGCAAGTTTGGGGCAGAGGAAGTTAGTCTTTTGGCATACTTCACATTTCTGTTAGGAAATCTGAGACGAACAGGGGGCTTCTAATCTAGACCTGCAACGTGAAACCATTACCCAATATGGGGTATGTGACAGTGTCTCTGCTCCAGAAAGGCTAAATCTCACCTACCGAGGATTGTTCCTAGCAAGACTCATGTGCACTATCCCAGCACCTGTCTACTGAGCACTGTTAACATTTTCTATGGAGTTTGTGAGTGAGAACAATGAGGAAAATGCTGGCCTGGTTTATGAATTGTCTAGCATTACAAGGTTAAGCCTAAACACACTTGCTCAAACTAGAGTTCCAATGTTGCAGCAAATGGGGTGTGGAAGTTTGTAAACCCAGTAGGGAAAAAAAGTATTGGATAGGTCCCATTTTTTACTCTCTAGCACTTGCTAACAGCAGCATCCTAGATGAACACTGCTAATACACTGGAACACACTGCAGTGTATTAGGAGTCAAGAAAGACTCTGGGAGTGTAAAAAATGTGCATTATACAGATAATGGGGACCAGACATTGGAAGCAACGCTTATGTCAAGTGCCAACGTAGAGCCAATCAAGCAGTTCCTATGCTTATGGCACTGGCCAATAGAAGAAGCTGAACAGAAACTAAAAGTAAGTGTCTTAAGCCCAGATGATCTTCCTTAGAGGCACTTACAACATATACATTTAAGTATCAAACTGGGAGGGACCAGATCAGTTTAGGACTAGGGGGACACAATGGGTATTTCTGCAGGCTTGGAGCCTGCTTTGCATCAAGTACTTTTCAGCCATGGCTGAAGGTCTGAGCTTTGGTCCTTGTATTTAAGATGTGAAAAGGAAATTACAGAAAAACTCTCCGTGAAACCTTTCCCTGTTTCATCTCTCTCAATACAGTCACATGTTGCTGTCTCAAGGAATAGCATTACACTTCCCTTTACATTATACTTTTATCAAAAATGAAGGATATTAATCACCCATCTTCTGCAGCAAATATGGAAATTGAATAATTAATGACAAGTTACAAGACTGGTTCTTCGCCCTCAGGCAGCCCTGGACATCTCTGCATTTTTCACTTTGTTTTTGCCTGTTCTGTATGTGTATGTTTCACTTTGTACATAATTTTCCCCCAATCTGGATAATTGAATTTCATAACTCATTTTGGTTACCTGACGTAGTTCAAAAGCTATTCAAAACAGTAAGGACCTCAGAAATAAAGCTGTCTTCTGACCACCTAGCCTTCTGCTGGCACATGCTTCTCACAGCTGCGGTGGGAGAAGCAGTTTCAGGTTTCTCTGCTTCTCTGTCATATATCCAGAGAGGTTCCTGTTTTGATTTGGGGAGGCGCTGGCAGGTGCTCTGTCCTTCGACACATGAAATGGCTCATTTTATTCCTGGTGCAATGGGATAATCAACAATCACCCACATCCAAAGAACCTGAGAGATGTCTACTTCCTTCACTGCCTGAGGTTGCATGGTCTGTACTTCATGCTCCTCAGCCTTTGCACAATGCAATGGGTTTGAAAAGGCACTCGCAAATGTTTCTTATGGATGAGGTTGCTCACAGTGGCTTCCACCTGTTGCCACATCTGGATTTCTCTAGATCACAGACGCACACACCAGTTGTCCCACCTTAACCCCCCGCCCCACACTGGCCCTGAATCATCACTACACAGTATTTTGCCTGCAGGCCACTGTGAAACTGGGGCAACGCAGTGTAGGCCTGGAGCCTGCCGGGTTAAATGGAGAGGTGTATTTATCTGGAGCAAAACTAGACTCAGTTTGCTGACTAAGTTAGGCAAGTCAGAGACCTGGTACTTCGTACTGCTGCAAGGATTGCTGAAGCATAAAGTTTGTTGAGCATTATGAAATGAAAATGTTGTCCAGTGGCTGATCTGATACATAGTCACTGACACGTCCAGCTGCCGACCACTGCACAGAGAAGACAGCAAAGGACTGAATAGCCATGTGCAACTAAAAGGGTTGTTTTGAGCTGATTTTGTGTCTTTCTGAGCTGCCAATGTTTTATCATTGTGACCAGTCCAGCTTTCCAAGGTTACTATATTGTACACTCTGGAGACTCATCCGTTAAAAATGCTAAAACATTCTGAAAAATGGTCATTAATCTTGAAATTGTCAGACAAATTATTTTCAATGAGCCCTGATGGCTCATGTGCTGGAAGCCTGGGAGGGTGCTTGAATTAAGTTTAATCAATAGGTACATATGGTATTGGATGCATCCAGGTAATTTGTCATCCAGGAACTTGAAATGAATGTGCAGTGTTACACTTTATTGGGAGTCACAGTAGTGACACTAATGAATATACAAAACCCAGCAGTAGCAGCAAGGGTCATTCAACATTGCAGTATCAGAACTATTTTTAAATAAGATTTTCAATAAAAATGTTTTCCCTTTCCAGAAAAAAACCCTCTGTTTTCTGCAGAATCATGTTGGCTCCTAAATCAGAAAACAGGAACTTTTTTTGGCCAAGAGACAAAATATTTCATCTGGAGAAACTGAGATGATGTGTCACCCTGCAGCCCCACTCCCCCCTCGGGACTATGCTGCATGCCTATTTGTCAGCCAGGGTGCACCACACACAGAAGCCTAATGATGCACATGGCCATAGCATTTCCACATATCCCAAATTTACAACTTGTCAAATGGGAAGAAGAGCCGAAGAAGAGCCATCAGTGCTACATTGTGATGGTCTGAGATTCTGAGATTTAGGGGTAGGGGCTTTTTTTTTTTTTTTTTTTGGATGCTCCTTTTAAGATCCTGTAAGGGAAGGGACTATTGACTCCAAAATACTATTACTTAGCAATCAATACAAATTATGTAATGCATTTTGTTCAGACTCTCTAACTCTGACATTTCACTTGCAAATAACGCAGCTTTTCCCTCTTGTTAGCAATAATTTTCTGCTTTATTCTTTGTGTTCCCCAGATCCCTTCTGATGGCAAATGTCAAACAGGAAAACTCCAAATCAACCAAAAGGAGACACTTTCTATTAATTTTCTTTTTAGCACAGTCTCATGATTCTCCTGGGTACTAGGACACTAGGATACTAGGAGACCTAATATATTTTGCATTTCTTGCAGGCTTAAACTTATTTTTCTTTATACCACCTTTGGTCATGCAGTGGACCCACTGCACCCAGATTTGCCCTGAAAAGCTACAGTGTGGTCACTATGCAAGACTATTCTAAAACTAACGGTAATCAGCTACTTAGGTTATAACCATTGTACCATTACATATCTTGAATGTTCATTGTTTTGGGACCGAATAAAATATTTAACACATTCCATATAAAGGCAGATAGGAGGAATTATTTGGGTTGATTTAGCTGAGCTTTCCCATTTTATTCTAGTTATTAATAGTTTCTCCCTATTCATCCTGTCATCCATGAGCACAGTCTTCATATTTGTCCTTCTCATCACACTTATCTCTTTGCCACAGTTCTGAGGTGCTTGGGGATACCTGCAAGACTCGTTACCAACTATTCTTCTGCCCATGATAACAACGGCAATTTACGGTTGGACTTCTTTCTGGATGACGAAGGGAAAGTGGACACCAAACTTACAAAAGACTCTGTCTGGTGAGTTCTCCTGGCAAATGTCTTTAATGTGTCGGCTATGTAAGTAGTAAAAAACATGACAGCAAAGCCTGTGGTTTATTTATTTCTCTGTCCATTAAAGAATACTGTTAGCTTATGTAAAACAGAATGAATGGGTTGTTAGTAGGCTGACTAATATGAAGTGCTTGTAAAAGAGACATACCCTAGGGGATCCAACTACTAATGTTACCATTCTGTATAGTACACATTTAAGCACACTGGAGGAGAGCTGGAATGGGTTTGTGCTCCTTAGGGCCAGGCCATTTCTAAAAATGGAAAGGGGTAGGATGGGCACTTACATCAGTCTGGAGCCAGGCTCAAAGGAATACTTCAATATCTATGGAAAAATGCCCTTCTTGTCCTGCTTCTGCCCAGTCCCTATGTTTGTAGGCTAGTTTTATGTTTTGTACATGAAGCCACTGTCACAAATAGGTACTTTCCAAAATAAATCCAGTTCAGCTGAAAAAGAAACAGGCCAAGGTATCATACAAGTTACTGAAGTGCTATCACCAGATTTATAAAAAGAAAACTCCCTAGGAAGAAGAAATGCAGTCTAGGTATTCTTTTGGTGAAGACAGTGCTCTAACTTCCTCCTCGAGCTCTTACTGTCTCCTGTCTGACAGGAGAAGTGTAGCATATATTGATTATATGCTCTGTTCAGTAGAAATTATGTGTGGGTTATTGGGCCTCAAGCTTCTCCTCCTCAGAGTGAAGCAGTGAATGTGACCTCTGTATATATTCCTATATTCAGGAGGTACTTGTCCTATTCAGTGTTAATATACCTGATTTGTGTCAATGATATCTTCAACTCATCAGCGTAGCTGCTCATCAGCATGTTTCATTAACAACTTAGTCTCTGGAAGTCTTTATATTAAAACTGTAATAAACCCATTCTGTGGTGGAGGAAATGACTGAACCTGTTGCTGTAACCTTTTTTACGCGATTTCCATAATCTGCTACCAAGAGGGAATCTAAGGAAAATAATTAGATTCATTTATATCTGAAGCTTGTATCACAGCATCACAAAATAGCTGAGACTGGAAGGGACCCCTGGAAGTCATCCAACCCCCCTGCTCAAAGCAGGGTCAGCTAGAGAAGGTTGCTCAGGGCTGTGTTCAGTTGGGTTTTGAACATCTCCAAGGACGGACAGTCCACAGCCTCTCTGGGAAACTTGTGCCAGTGCTCAACCACTCTCAGAGTAAAAAAGTGTTTCCTGATGTTCAGACAGTATTTCCTGTGTTTTAGTTTGTGCTCATTGCTTCTTGTGCTGACACTGGGGGCCACTGAGAAGAGTCTGGCTCTGTCTTCTTCCCCCCCAACTCCCTAACCAGGCATTTATACACATGGATGAGATCCTGTTGAGCCTTCCCATCTCCAGGCTGAACAGTCCCAGCCTCTCCTCATGTACAACCTCTAGTGTATCAGCCATTCCTTCCAGTTTTCTATATCAGCAAACTTGCTGAGGGTGTAGTAGGTCTTGTCATCCAGGTCATTCATGAAGATGTTAAACACTGTTGGACCCAGTATTGACCCCAGGGTACACAACTAGTGACTAGGCTCCAGCTGGACTTCACACCAGTGATCACAATCCTCTGATCCCAGCAGTTCAGCCAGTTTTCAATAAACCTTACTGTCCACTTATCTAGTCTATACTTCAATGGTTTGTCTATGAGGATGTTCGGGGAGATGGCGCTAAAGTCAAAAGAGAAAACAAACCCCATGTTCTGGTCTCCCCTTGCCCACTTAGTCATTCATTTCATCACAGAAGGCTATCAGGTTGGTCAGGCATGGCTGGCCTCTTGTAAATCCATGCTGACTACTGCCAATCACCTTGTCCTTAATATGTTTGGAAATGTTTTTGAGAAGAATTTGCTCTATAACCTTCCCAGGGATCATAGAATCATAGAATCATTAAGGTTGGAAAAGACCTCTGGGATCATCGAGTCCAACCGTTAACCTAACTGCCAGGTCCACCTCTAAACCATGTCCCTAAGCACCACACCCACACGTGGTCAAGGTGAGGCTGACAATTCTGTAGTTCTCTGGGTACTCCTTCTTCTCTTGCTTGAAGAAAGGAGTGACACTTGCTTTCTTCCAGTCCTCAGGAACCTCCCCCAATCAGCATGACTTTTCGAAGATAGATATGAGTAGTCTTACAATGACATCAGCCAGCTCCCCCAGCACTTTTGGGTCCATCCCATCAGATCCATTGGAATTCTGTGTGTCCAGTTTGTTTAAATGTTCTCTAACTTGTTCCTCCTCTACAGATAGTAAATTTTCATTACTCCAAACTTCCACACTGGTCTCAAGGGTCATGATTCCGGAGGGCAAATATTAGCAGTAAAAACCAAGGCAAAGAAGACATTGAATACTTTGGCCTTTTCTTAGTCCTTTGCCATCAGGTCCCCTGCCCCATTCAGCAGCAGGCCCACATTTTCCATAGTCTTCCTTTTGATACTGATGTACTTGCCTTTCTTACTGCTCTTCGAGTCCCTTGATATACTCTGTTTGATCTGGGTTTTGGTTTTCCTAAACCTGTCCCTGTCTGCTCAGACAATGTCTCTATATTCCTCCTGGTCACCTGTCCCTGCTTCCACCTCTTGTGCATTTTTTTTTTTTTTATGTTTGAGTTTAGTCGGGACCACCTTGTTCACCATGCGGGCCTTGTGCCGCTTTCGGTTGATTTCCTGCGCATAGGGATGAAGCATTCTTAAGCTTGGAGGAGGTGACCTTTGAAAAACAACTAGCTCTCTTGGGCCCATCTTCTATTCAGAAATGCCTCCCATGGGATTCTTCCAAGCAGGACTTTAAATAGTCCAAAGCCGACTCTCCTGAAGTCCAGGGTTGTGGTCCTGCTATTTGCCTTGCTCCCTCCTGTTAGAATCCTTGGGGGTTCCCAGTTTGCTAAGCTGCATCTGGTCTATGTGACAGCAGGACCTCAGTACATCTCATGGGGCTGGTGGCTGGTCCTTCTATGGCTCACAGAGCAGTAAAGGAAGAGTCACTCTTCTGAAACCTCCTCTGCCTATAAAAGATGTGAAACAAGACCCAATGACTGGCCATCTCACTACTCAGTCCATATACACCCAGTAATGGATCATTGCCATGCTTCAGACTTTCCACCATCTCATCTCTTCTCTCCTTCTCCTAACCTGATCTGTGACATAACTTTCACCCACTTTTGTCATTTGCTTTTACTTTCCTACCTCTCCTTTTCCCAGCTGTTTCCCAAGACTTCTTAATTCAGTCCTGGGTTTTTTTCTGTTCTTTTGGGACAGGACCAGATCATCCGAAATCATCCTTACTCCACTGAAATCTATATGCAACTTCACACTAGCATTTCATCCTCCCATCCTACGTTTGCTTTTCTTCAGCTTGATTACTTTTTGAGCTGCCTTGTTCATCCTTCTGTCCTCCCGGTGCATTTATTAGTACATGGCGCACATAACCCTTTGGGCATGACTTAATATATTACACACTTCTTTTCATTTCTCCTCTGTGTCCTTTCTCTTCATTACTCTGTAACACTTCATGGTAGCCCACATGCCGACTTTAAATGGCTTGTGTCTTAACCTTGATTTTATTTTTAATGTCTTTTTTATTTCTTTTTTTTTTTTTTTTAAGAGGACAAGCTCAAGGTATTTATAATGATTTTTTAAAATGTATTTCTCACTTTTATTTATAATCTCCTGAAAACTGGAAGCAAAGCTCTTTTTCTTTATTAATATATCATTTCTATTGCCCTGTACTGCTGGAGCTGATCTGTCTTCAGGTTTTAAATACTCTCAGACTTCAGGGATACTTGGAGCCAGGATTTTTAGTCCAATCAATCTCTGAGTGTGGGGCTCCCTCTGAATGTTATCTGACATTTATTTATTTTTATTAAAGATCATCTTCTCCCTCAGGATAGGAAAAAACGACAACAACAGAACACATATACAAAATTACACAGACTTTGCAAAAAGTTATTTTTATAAACCTGGCCGGATTTGGGCCCATCAGTACTGTCTCTGTCCCCTTACTTTGTTCTCCTTGTCTTTCTTAATGATGATATAAAGACACTTAAAGAATATTTGTCTTGGATGGGAATCAAGACTCACTCCTACTGTGAGGTCCAAGCAGAACAATGTCAGTACATCAGCAGAAACTTGCTCAAAGTCACCTGGCCCCACAGGGGTTCATCCATGTCTAGGCCCATGGAGAAAGCTCTTCTGAGGCCTCTGCTGTCCCATTCACTTCCAGCTCACTTTTCTCTGATTTCTCAATAACGTTATCAGTGTCTCTCTCAACCTCGATGCCTGAGCTTATTAGCTAATGAAAGGGCAGAAGCTGTTTCCAGCATGTGCTTGTCTCATAAGCAATACGAAGTACCCGTCTTAAATTGTCTTCCAGGCATATAACCCACCTGATCATCTTTTATTAATTTCCCCATCGCTTTGTTTAGTCTATTTGTAATTATCTCTGTAAATATTTAATGGTCACTGCATTGATCTGTATAGCCATTCTTGCTTTCTTTAATGTCTCAGGCTTGCTGTAGAATACAAGAACTACAGAATCAGTTTAACAAATTATGGCTGGGAAGGCAGTGCCTCAGCTGTGCTCATTTCTACCACAGAGAAGTTGCTGCTACATTTTGGAGAAGGAAATGTTCCCCTCATCCTCCTTTCCTCAATGCTCATGTGCTTTACAAACAATGTATTTCTGTCCATTCACATTCAATATCCTTAAGTGTATTTGTTATTTGCATGGCAGCAGACCTAAAAAAATTGCCATCCTGTTGCGCCCAACACTACACCAATAGAAACCAGTAAGAAAGGTCCTGTCCCCTAGGATGAATATAGAAAAAAAAAAAAATTAGAAAAAAACCTGCATTACCTAATTACAGAATTGAAGCAGAGCTGCCATTTTCTGCAGTGTTATCCCCCCCTTGGTTTTATCATCCTTTCCTCCTGCCTGCTCTTCAGGTTCTTCTTTCGCAGAACACAAAGCCAGTGACACATCTGAGTTTGATTCAAAGTGAATCAGTGAAGGTTTCAGGGCAGGGATTGTCTCTCTCACATATTGGCATAACAGTTTCCAAAAACCCACCTACCGCAAGTGCGTCCCCATTCTCTGGTAGCCTTCAGCAAAGCTCTGCAAGCATGATTCAGCATTGACTACTCTCAGCAGCATCAAAAATTCTTTGAGTGTGTGTCATTTTCCTTCAATAATTCCTTTTTCTGTAGTGCTGCTTCATTAACTCTCCTAACTGACAAGTTTTACCCTGATCCAAGCTTTCATTTCCACTTTGAAATGTCTTGTTAGACAAGCCTCAGATCCTTCCGACTCTGCTCCATGGCTGGTTTTCACCTATTATTAATGAAATGGAAGAGTTTAACAATCCCCATTTTGGTTGCTAATATCATTGCATGTACTAGGGGCTGCATCAGCAGCTACATAGATGTAATTTTATTGATATCTGCTGTAGGATATGTATAATTTGCAAGCAAAATTACCCCTTTCTCCTCTCCTTCCTTCCTTTATTTTTTACAGTAATGAAATTCAAACACTTTGCTGGCTTTATTGCAAGACCCTCTTCCTAGATTGTCTTCTTTTCTTGCTTGTGCTCTCCCTTGAGCGCCAGTAGCATTGCAGGAAGTTACAAGATCTGCCTTTCTTTTCTGCCCATCTCCGAAACATTCTGGGCAGACAGTGATGGTGCTGTAGTGTTTTTTTCTTTTCCTGAGCATCCAGCCAAGTGAGGGCATTTCAACCCTGAGCGCCTAGATAAACCACTCTCAGAAATTCACCTTTCAGCATATTGTCCGGGGCCCTAAAGGCAAGACTTGGCCCACAGTGGTTGTACGTGGGTTTTATGGAAAGCTGTCTGTTCTAGGAGATCTGACCTCCCTCACTGGTATGACACATTGGGAAGACCTCATAAGGAATCCACAATGAGGATAGTCTTATATCGTATAGTCTTTTTCTCAACCAACATTGAAACCAGCTAAGCATGTTTGTTTTGAACCATGAAAACAAAGCTACACACTGTACATTATAGAGCTGATCCTGAAATCTCTTCAGAAGAGGCACCAAAGCTTCAGTCTTAATAGTTATAAACCAGACCATGCTTCAATGGCTTGAAGAAGATTCAAAGCTTGCTTTAGCAGGCACACTGAAGTGGAAGTGTCTGGCAGGAAAGGGATTGTAGTTTGTGTAGCTCTTCATATACCCCAACAATCTCCAAGCACTGGAAATTTTTCTGAGACATTTGCATTCAGAACACATTAGAAGAATCAAAAAGCTTCTTCAACTTGCAGTCAAGAAACTACAATGAAGGATTGTGGCCTTCAGGTTTTAACAGATAGGTAGCAAACTTTTAGACCTAAAAATCTGTTCTCTAGAAATACCCAACTTTTTCACCCCTAAATTGGCAAATGTTGTTATTGAAGCAATAGCAGGACATAAATATACAGGTTTGTTTTGGTCTTCTTTCCAAGAATTTAATATTCTGGTCTCATCTCTTGTCTAAGGAACTATCATTGCTGGAATGAAGCATGGATGACCAGACCTGATCTTCCTGTTGGTTTTGGAGGATGGCAGGTTGTTGATGGGACACCTCAAGAAACCAGTGATGGTAGTATCACCTGAAGTCCTCCTTAGCTCCCTTTCCAGCACTTGGGTTCTGAGCTGATGATAGCTGAGCCAGTGGCACCATATAGCTGGTGACAAATTCCTGCACCAGATAACCACACTCACCTGTGCTCAGGGCCTTCTCCTGATTTGTTTTGAGCTCTAAAATAAATCTGTCCTTATTATAACACTGCTCATGATGCACGTGCACAAAATCGTGCATGAGAAGGGCCCTGCTTGGTACAGAAGAGGTGTAGTCCTGTTGCCAAAAGATGGCTTCTAAAATTTTGGAGAACCTATACAGGTGCCTGATCCAACTCTTTCTCCTTCATTTTATGTCTGCAGTCCTTACTAAACTTCCTGAGCAAGTGGTAGGCAGGAGAGAAAAAGTGAAAAGTCACTGTTATTTCTTCCCAGTCCTTAGTTTTCCAGTTCTTAAAAGACAGTCTTAGCAAATTTGCAGTGAGATCTCTCTCAGTCTGTGGTATAACTGAGCCCTCCCAAAATTATCTGCTTTAACCAAACCACCTGTAACTGTGTTTCAAGCACTTGAGACTTACAGTGGACTTTACAGTGCCATTAAGGTACCAAACCATTAGGTTGTTTCAGACTTCAGTCTGTGTTGTTTAGAGGGCTGGTAACAGAAATAAAGCTTTTCACTTCTTGGTTAGGAGTTCCTGGAAACTATTAAAAGAGTTCACCAAACCCCAAGAATTCTTTTTCTTTGAGAAAATATAACACTTCGACATGTTTTTTAATTAATTTAATTTCTCACTTTATCTCTCTTCTCCCTGTAGGTATGTACAGGTGTGGCCCAGCCTCAGTACAAGCCATTAAACATGGTCACGTTTGCTTCCAATTTGATGCTCCTTTTGTCTATGCTGAGGTACATATCTGAAAATTTTTAGTGCATTGAGTGATATCAGTGGGACCATCGGTGAGACAGAAGATAGGGCTCCACTACAATTTATGGATTGAGAAGTTGCTTCACGTATACTCCACATCAAAGAAAAATCTCATAATTATATTTTGACATGCTGGCCAGTAGGTGTGATATGGCTCTAATGAATGACAGAGATTTCTCTAATGTCTGCTCACCAATATAATAAGCAGAAAAATCTACTCTGGCTCTGATGAAACTTCAGGCTGTGGTCATTTATCCTTCCCAGATTCCAGCTATGCTGGCAAATGAGTCACTAGCTCTAGCTGCTCATCTTCATCCCTTGTTAGCTGTTACCTCCTTCTCAAGCTTGCCAGCAAAGCTGCTTATGTTAAGGCTCCCTTACTTATTTCCGTCAAAATGGATGCAGTGATTTTAAAGAGGCCTTTGCTCACCATGTTCATTTTGGCTGCAGTCAGTCAAGGAGAGCTCACATGGGTGGTTTGACTGGCAGATCTGAGAGGGAAATATCTCCATGAGGGGGGAGAGGGCCTCGTCTGGAGTTTTAACCTCTTGCACCACCAGAGGTGTGCCCAGAATTGCAGCAGCTGTAGAGCCAAGTGTCTCTCTGATTGAATTGTGTATAGCTTAGGACAGAAGAGAATAAAGATATTCTATCTATGAAGCATTCCCCTCTCTGTAGTCTAAAGCTTTTTGTTGCAAGGAGTGTGTAATCACGCTCCCCAAGTCCAAACATTATCTCTGTAGCCTGCTCAAGTTTACACTGTCCGTTGTTCTGGAGCTGCAAATAGTAAAATTAACCTAGTCATTATTGTAGCATATGACTAATTTTAAACATGGGACTTCAAGTCAACATGTCATTGTTTTGAGGGGAGATAGGCTGGCTACCCTTCCTCTCTCTACTTCCATATGCCTCAATCCTTTTTCATTTAATTTTATAGGTGAATAGTGATATTGTTTACTCAAGAAGGGAGAAAAATGGAACCCAAGTGATAGAAAAAATTGACACAACGCATATTGGGCAGTTGATTGTGACCAAGGAAGTTGGGGGTGATGGAATGATGGAGATTACTGAGGAGTACAAGTTCCAAGAAGGTAACCTGAAATGGGGTGGGACCATACTGATATACATTTACCTCAGTCAGATCTTGGATGGTGGATTTTCAGACCTCTGGCACTGAAGGAGCTGCATGACAAGCTGCCAAGGTGCCCCCTGGAATCCTTTATTTATAACTCCATCTTAGAAACACTGCAGATGCCTTGATAACAGCACAGACTTTGCTACTCAGAAATGCTTTGGACTGAGTAAGCTGTAGTGAAAACAAAGGGTAGTCATGGAGTAACTCAAAGCATTCAAAACAATTCAAGGCTTTCTGTGCAGCTGTTTAGACATTTCTCACTCAGGACAGATGTTTGCACAGAGTAAATCAGCGTAGCTCCATTAATATCAGTTAAGCTAGGTCAATTTATCTGATATGGCTTGAATCTTTAAGACCAGCTCATTTGGAAGTTGTGAAGTTCTCATAATATTAACTTCACCAGAGGAAGGTTTACTGTCCTCATCCATTCATTTCAGCTACCACAAACTATGGAAGATGCACCCTTGTGATAGGTGAGTGGGGATGTGCTAATGCAGTACCCCTGTTTCTCTTCTAAATTTGATTTTCATTCATTTCTAGGCTCACAGGAGGAGAGACTGGCTCTTGAGACTGCTGTGATGTACGGTGTTGAAAAGCAAACTACCCAAAATATTGCGTATCAGCCACAGACGGATGTTGACATGGACTTCCAAGTGCAAAAAGCAGTCCTTGGCAGTGACTTTAAAGTCACTATAACTTTCAGGAACAAAAGTCGCAACTACTACACTGCCACTACATACCTTTCAGGCAACATTGTGTTTTATACAGGAGTCACAAAAAATGAATTCAAGAA